TCCATCTGCCTCTCAGTTCATCTGTCAATCTGAAATTTATTCTGCACCTAGGATACATAAGGCACTGTTATAGACAAAGATACAAAGATGAATAAAACTAACTCTTACTGTATGCTTTATTAGTACAATTTGTGAGACAAATAGGGAAACAATTTATATACGACTGGATAAAGCTAATGGATATATTTACATAAAAAGAAATTATGAACTGGCATACAATGATTCATGTTATAGACTTTCCTTATCAATATAAAAAAATGAGGAGTAAAATTTTCCTACTAATACTTTGTTTATTTTTTCAGGGGACGGAGTCTCACTCTTTTATCAGGCTGGAGTGCAGTGGTGCGATCTCGGCTCACTGCAACATCTGCCTCCCAACTTCTAAGTGATTCTCCTGCCTCAGCCTCCCGAGTATCTGGAATTAGAGGCACATGCCATCATGCCTGGCTAATTTTTGTATTTTTTCTTTTTTTAGTAGAGATGGGGTTTTACCATGTTGGCCAGGCTGGTCTCCAACACTCGCCTCCCAAAGTGCTGGGATTACAGGAATGAGCCACTGTGCCCAGCTGATCCTACTAATAATTTAAATGATAAATATAGTAGAGACTGGTAATGTAGCCAGTTGTTCTCCCCAGGTTACCTGAGTAAATATTTGCATATTTTAACAAATAATACAGTATTTAATTTTTCTTAAGTTTTTTTTTTTTTTTCATTAGAACAATAACAGTATTATGTACCTTCTGACTTTTTTTTTAGTGTTACTAGACAGGAAGTAAAAATATTGGGCTGTCAGGTTAAAAAATTTATGGGTAACACTGGAGAAACATCATTAAACATTTTATATATACATACATACATACATACATACAAATGCATGTAAAATTTGTCCAGGAGGAATAGTAAAAATGAGCTAGACCAGTGTATGTAGATAAAGAATCATGACCACCTGATCTCTGGTCCTCCCAACTTCATAATGAGGAAAACTTGTACTGTCATGTTCCTCATTAATTCATCCCCGCTCGGAAGAGGAGAATTTTCAACAGGTCATTGTAACCTGGATATAGCAACTAATCTGGTGATAGCTATTTTTGTATTCTTCTCATTTTTTTCTTTCCTTTCTTCCTGTGTAGCCACATAATGTGAAACAATGAGTGGTTGCTATGGCTTAAATGCCTCTGTCGCAAAGCGTGTGTTGGAAACCGAATTCCTCAATGCAACAGTGTTGGGCGGGGGAGCCTGATGAGAGGCCGTGAAGGTGGAGTGAATGTCTAATAACTCCGGGTTCTTCAGCTTGGGTACTCTGGAACTTGCACCAACAGCCTCCTGAGGCTCTCAAGCCTTTGACCTTTGACTGAGAGTTGCACCTCTGGCCTCCTTGGTTCTTGGGTCTTCTGATTTCAACAGAGCCATGTTACTTCTCTGGTTCTCCAGCTTGCAGATGGCTTCCCATAGGACTTCTCCACCCCCACAACCAGGTGAGTGAATTCTCCTAATAAAGACCCTCTCATCTATCTATCTATCTATCTATCTATCTATCTATCTATCTATTTATCTATCTATCATCTATCTATCTATCCTATTGGTTATCTCTCTGGGGAACCCTGACTAACACATTGATACACTATTCATTTGCAAAACCAGAATGCATGGGCAGATGACATCTTCTGGAAATATGTGGCATCCCTTGTTTAAAGTAAAAGTCCTAATATAATCCATGCAGTTATTTATCAGCAAGCACTGAGTCCAGTAAGGGTGCCTTCTAGGGAGTGTTTGACGGCTTCTGTATCATCACTGACTATAATGACTTAGGTAATTACTAAAAAAAAAGAAGTGGGCCGGGCGCGGTGGCTCACGCCTGTAATCCCAGCACTTTGGGAGGCCGAGGCGGGTGGATCACGAGGTCAAGAGATCGAGACCATCCTGTTCAACATGGTGAAACCCCGTCTCTACTAAAAATACAAAAAATTAGCTGGGCATGGTGGCGTGTGCCTACAATCTCAGCTACCCAGGAGGGGTAAGAGTCACTACAATCTCAGCTACCCAGAGAGAAGTAAGAGTCACTCCATTTTAAGGAAGACTTTGTAATTTAAGCTAGTCTTGAGTTTCTGAACAGAATACAAATCACTAATTTAGTATGGAAAAAAATTTATGGTTACTTGCAGTAAGCTTTCACTACCTACCAATAAACAAGCAATTTTCCCCCTACTTATTCGTATTTCTCTCTTGCCAACTTTGGAGACATATATAAGATTAATCAGTTTTCAGTGATGTCTTACTCCCTAATATTATTTAAGCCAGATTATGCCCTGAGGAGTCAAAAAAGCAACTCCTTATTTGGGGTTAGGATTTAAACTCCTTGCCAGTACTAGAGGTTTTAATTTTGAAATTAGTATAATTTGGTATACTAGTATACTAGTATAATTTTGAATTCAGTAGTGTGGTAGCTATTTTTAAAATATAATAATCACTAAGAGTTACTGATTATTTAATTATTTTCCAGGCACTGTTATGCCTTTGACATACATAACCTCATTTCATTCTCTCTACCGTAAGCAACATGATTATAACCATTTTGTGGAATAGGAAACCTAATCTTGGGTGGATTAAATAAACTGCCTATCATTACACAACTAGTAAATGGCAGGACTCAGCTTAAAAATATATCTGACTAGTAGGCGGTGCACTCTAACCTCTCAGCCATTTTACTGCATATGCATTATATGATATTACATTGCCCAGATTCACCATCACATAAATCTGCTAGATTATTAATTATCTTTATAATCATCCATTTAACAGATAATTACTAAGTGTTATTTATGTGCTACTTTGGAGGAAAAACATCAACTCTTGTACATCCCTCAAGGAGTTACACAAAATGGGAAGAGGTGAAGAGATGTGCACACTGTAATTTCAAAAGTCAATAGCTAAGTAGCACTACACAAATAGAAGACCATGCCCCTGATTAAGATACATATGAACAGCAATATTGCTTAAAACACACAGAAAGGCCCTCTTTTATTTGTGAGGCAGTTTGGTGGTTAAAAGTGGATTCTGGACTGCGGCAGCCTGGGTGCAAATTTGTGGCCCTATATTCTTGGCAAAGTCACATGCCATAGTTTCTCTTACTGTAATTTAGGAATAAAATCAATACCTATCCCACAAGAGACTCTGTGAGGACTAAATGTATCTATTACTTAGAACAGCTTATAATCAGCTTTAGCCAGCACTGATGTTAATGCTGAAACCTACCCATTTTCTACCTAGTACTTATGAGGTTTGACATTTCTTCTCTAAACCACCATGTATTACTTGTCTCTTACTGAAATTTATTTTCCCTATTTTAAAAATTTATTTATTTTTATTTATTTATTTATTTTGGTGAGGGAAGGCTGTTTGTCTTCTGATACTCTGGCCATTTTGATCCTTTGCTAGAGAATCTAATTCCGTTTCAATTTGGATATTCTCATTCAATTAAAGAGACTCAATCCTCTTCTTTCTGTGCTACAGTGCCATTACCTTTCTTGACAGACAAATGATACTGGTCAGTCTGAAAAGAAAATCTTTTGGAAGGAAGAATACAGCCAGAGAGTGAGTTATGAGTTCATACACTTTCTGAGCATATCTGCTTCACTCTTTATATCAGATTATGCTAAAGCACTTTTGCTTGTCTGTTCCATACCCAGGTAATGGATCTCATACTTATGGAGAGAGTATGATCTCTCTTCTGTCTTCCAACTTGCTGTAGAAAATGTTAAATCACCTGAGGTCCAGGAAAGATCTCAGCCCAGTATAATTCAATAGAATAATCAGAGTTGACATGAACCAAGATAAATGGATTTAGAATAGCTGCTGGCTCTTCTTTTTTAACAATGGTATGGAGATTTGCAGTTTCCCTACCATCAGAATCACATAGTGTGATTGTTAAATACAGACCAGTCCCTGCTCTCACCTCTCCCACCCTCTCTCTACGTCTCCCACCCTCTCTCTACGTCACCTCTATCTCCAGTGATCTGATTCAGCAAGTCTGAGGTGGAGCTTAGAAATCTGTATTTTTAAGACTGGGACTCACTAAGATCATTATTCATGTACTCATGAGACATGGACTTGGTAATAATGCTAATAAGACTCCCTTTTTGTTTTCTATATTGACAAATTGAAAAGTAACTTATTTGAAAACAAGATCCAATTTTACTTAGCCTTCTTTCTTGGGTTTTAATGAACTCCCTAGTCTCTACTGGGGAAAAGGGGTAAAAACAAAGCAGTCATTATTAGCTTGTTAGATTAGCAAAATCAGAATTTTCAAGCTGAAAGCAATACTAAAGTCATTATTTCTTCACTTTGCAGATATAGACACAACTTTCTGTATAATGGGAGATTATGATGAGAATACTAAGATCCACAGACATTGTGAATTCCCAAAGTGATACAGTTAACTGGAACAAATTCTTGATTCCTATTCAGTTTCTTCATTTTTCTAATAATCACTCAAATAGACTGGATCTGTGTCTCAATTTATGGCATTTATGCTAACCAAAGCAAGTGTGTTTATTTTTAAAAAATATAGCATAGTTTAAAAAATATATAGACCAGGCATGATGGCTCCTGCCTGTAAACTCAACACTCTGGGAGGCTGAAGCAGGAGGATTGCTTGAGCTCTGAAGTTCAAGACCAGCCTGGGCAACAAAGGGAGACCTTGTCTCTAAAAAAAAAATAAAAATAAAAAAATTAGCTGAGCATGGTGGCACATGCCTGTAGTCCCAGCTACTCAAGAGGGTGAGGTTGGAGAATCACTTGAGTGTGTGAGATTGAGGCTGCAGTGAAATGTGGTCTGATTGTGCCACTGCATTCCAGCATAGATGACAGAGCAATACTCTGTCTAAAAAAAAAAGAAAAGAAAAGAAAAGAAAACTAAAGAAAGGCATAGTAAGTATAAGTAGCATTCTTTTTTAGTCAAATACCTCTTAGAACCACATTTTGAGAATTAAATGGAAGCTTACCTTTAAGAGGCACCTTGACATCAAGGCCATAGAATAAAGGCAAGAGAGAAGAACAAGAATAGAAACAGAAACTGCAGAAGAAAAAGAAGAAGATTATGTAAATCTGAATTTCTGTCGTGCGATTCAGGTAGTACAAAACCTCTGCCTTTCCACATTGCTCAAGTCTAACCACTTAACACATGAACATCAAGTACCTTTTTGTTTAAAAATATCCACACCTTTTATTTAGCTACTGACAGAGAGTACCAGTGTTCAACTAACATTGATTCATACATTTTAGAATCATGAGGGGGTCTCACAAACAACTGGCCTAAGCTCCCAATTTTACAGGTAAGAAAAATAATCACAGAGCATTAGATCAATGGTTTAATTACATACAATTTATGGCATAGTTGAGGGCTAAAGCTTAGATAACCTGAGCCCTATTTCATTATATATCATTGTCTCTATCTTTCACACATGACAGGGTATTTCAAAAATACAAAATATGATCAGAACATAAACTTAATCACTGAGTGGTATCTTTTTTTTTGTTGTTAATAAGATAGGTTTTGAGGATTAAGGTACAGCAGGGAGAATATTAATCTGTAGGCTAAATATATACTTAATTACTCATAGTGGAACATCTCAGAGAAGGATATGGACATTATTAATAATTACATTGGGTTGACAGGTAAAAACTGGGTCCGTCCTGGGCAAGTGAGGATGGGTGGTCATGCTATTGGCATCAAACCTGCTTCTATATCAATGGACATTTCATATAATACATGTGTGATGTTATTCCAGCTTTTATATCTCTGAGATAGACTTCTCCTTATTTGACTCATGGAAATTAAATGGCGTCTGATTTGTTTTTCTTCACCAAAAATCTTCACTTGAGAAACATAATTGGATGGGCAAACAGTGCTTGAGTAGCCTGGGTGTATAACTAACTGTATACTAACTGTAAAAAGTCATGGGTCAAGTCAGTTTCTTTCTTTCTTTCTTTTTTTTTTTTTTTTTTTTTTGAGACAGAGTCTCACTCTGTCAGCCAGGCTGGAGTGCAATGGTGCAATCTCAGCTCACTGCAACTTCTGCCTCTAGGGTCAAGTGATTCTCCTGCCTCAGCCTCCCAAGTAGCTGTGACTACAGGTGCGTGCCACCATGCCCGGCTATTTTTTTGTATTTTAGTAGAGACGGGGTTTCACCATGTTGGCCAGGATGGTCTTGATCTCCTGACCTCATGATCCAGCTGCCTCAGCCTCTCAAAGGGCTGGGATTATAGGCGTGAACCACCACACCCAGTGGGTCAGGTCAGTTTTTAAAAAAATAATTGATTTCCTTGGTGGTTTACTTTTTATAGAGTCAGTAAGTCTTTTACCTGATTATCACACTCCAGGAACACACTGTTGGACACATCTGTGAATGAGGGTTATGTTTGGCTTTCTTGTATTGTGAATGTTATTTGCATATTTCCTTTAATGCTACTGCTTATAAGGTTCTTGCTTCACTATGGCTAAATTCTACAAACAAGTTATGAATATGGCTCTAAGAGGCATGTATTGGTGATGAGTCTATTATTATGAAAACCAGAAACGTGCTTTTTCTCATTCCTTGAAGGTAAACCTATAGCAGGAGAAGTTCAAGAATGAGAGTAACAGATGAATTCCCATTCCCATTATTCCGATGAGAAGATCAGATATCAGAGGAGATGCCCATCTCTTAGTCCATAATGTGAGTCTTAATCTCTGCAGTGTGGTGGGCAGATCACGCCATTTGGAATCAGACACCCTGACTCTGGTCTTGATTTGCCATAAATTGGTTATATAATTTTTGGCAAATTGTTTAATTTCTTTGAGCCATTGTTTTATTATCTGTATAAAAGGGGATCATAACATCTGTGGTGTCTGTCTCATAGAGTAATTATGAGCGTCAGATGAAATGATGGCAGTGGAAGTACTCTAGATAAGGGACATACAGATATTATGCTCTAGATAAGTGCTGCACACAGCTGAAGCAATTTTGCTAGGTTTGTTGTTACCACCTGATTCATATTGTGTGCATGGAAATAAGCAATAAAGAAGAGATATTCCATGTACCCTGAGTGAGTGTTCAAGTACCATAAGGGAAGAATGAAGAGTATGTCTGACATAGAATCTTTAGCCTCTTTACTAGATTAAGGGTGTGGAGAACTGAGGTCAAGTGAGTAGAAAGTACATCATAAACCTCATCTCTAGTCAAATATCTAATCAGAAGTCAACTGGATTGTTTTTGAAGTGGTTGAATTTGCTACCCTATGTGAAATACGCAGTGTTGACAATTAGATTATTTTCTTTCAAGTAAGATAATTACCCCGTTATCATAAATGTTTAGGAAGTTCAGATATGTAAAGTATACTGAGCAAAAGAATTGTGAAAAAGTTCACATTTAATTCCAATTAACGTGATCTTAATCTCCCTTCTTCCAAAATTGTTGAGAGTTTTATTTAGAGAATGTCTAGGGTGATGATGTTGATAGATTTTTTTTTTTTAAATTCTAACCCCCTCACCCTTTTTTTTAAAACCTCAGCTGGATGGGGACTGAATGGGTTTCATCAAGTTTTGGGGACAGAATCACCTTAACCTTGAATTCTTCCTTGAGCCAGCCCTACTGTAGCTTGTGAATTAGCAGAGAGATAGCCAAGAACTGGCCATTCAAAAGTTTGGAAAATGGAAGACATTGAATGTGGTCTCTGACAAACAGGGAAGCTGAAAGCAATCCCTGTCTTCTCTGGGGCTTTTTCCCAATCACTGGGAAATTTACTGTACATTATCATTGCCTCATTCAGTCCTGCAGAACTAAATAGCCCCTTCTGAAATCTGGGAAATTCAAATTTAAAATTTTGCAGAGAATGTATACTTTGCATTGGAAATTTAAAAAATTGCACTTTTAGAATTTGCCTTACATTTTTTAGTGTTTCCTTTTTCACATAAGTGACCTCACTGGTTCCTCATGGAACCCATGGGAGGAAGAAAGGGCAAGTGTTATCATCCCTGTTTTAGAAACATGGCTTAGACAGAGGAAGTGAAGTTACTTACCTAAAGTCAAATGAGTACCTAAAGACCCAGCCTATATAAAAATCTGGGTGCCTGGTGGTCTGCTACTTGAGCCCACCAACTCTCTTTAACTTCATATATACAGATAATTATAGAGGCAATCTGGGATAAACCAAATTCTAACCATTGTCACAAGAAGAGCAGATAGTTTGCTATTTTCTTCTTGTGTGCCTATGGAAGCTACTGTAAAACAGCCATATCTTTTTACTATACAGGAAGTCAGGTAGCTACTTTCAGTCAATCTGACTCCAGTCAGATTGAAGCCAGAGAAAAGAGTCTTTGGCATCTTTGCTGTTACTCTTGCAGAATGTTCCTGGTGTCTTGGGCCAGACTTTTTTTTTTATTATACTTTAAGTTTTGGGATACATGTGCAGAACATGCTAGTTTGTTACCTAGGTATACATGTGCCATGGCGGTTTGCTGCATCCATCAACCCATCATCTACATTAGGTATTTCTCCTAATGCTATTCCCCCCCAACTTCCCCATCTCCCAATAGGTCCCGATATGTGATGTTCCCCAAGCTGTGCCTATGTGTTCTCATTGTTGAACTCCCACTTGTGAGGGAGAATGTGTGGTTTTCTATTCCTGTGTTAGTTTGCTGAGAATGATGGTTTCCAGCTTCATTCATGTCCTTCATTCATGCAAAGGACATGAACCCATTCTTTTTTATGGCTGTATAGTATTCCATGTTGTACATGTGCCATAATTTCTTCATCCAGTCTAACATTGATGGGCATTGGGGTTGGTTTCAAGTCTTTGCTATTGTGAATAGTGCTGTAATAAACTATGTGTGCATGTGTCTTTACAGTGGGATGATTTATGCTCCTTTGGGTATATACCCAGTAATGGGATTGCTGGGTCAAAAGGTATTTCTAGTTCTAGATCCTTGAGGAATCGCCACACTGTCTTCAACAATGGTTGAACTATTTACACTCCCACCAACAGAGTAAAAGCATTCCTATTTCTCCACATCCTCTCCTGTGTCTGTTATTTCCTGGTGTTTTAATGATTGCCATTCTAACTGGTGTGAGATGGCATCTCATTATGGTTTTGATTTGTATTTCTCTAATGACCAGTGATGATGAGCTTTTCTTCATATGTTTGTTGTCTGCATAAATGTCTTCTTTGGAAAAGTGTCTGTTCATATTCTTTGCCCACTTTTTTATGGGGTTTTTTTTTCTTATAAATTTGTTTAAGTTCCTTGTAGATTCTTTGTCAGATAGATAGATTGCAAAATTTTTCTCCTATTCTGTAGGTTGCCTGTTTGCTCTGATGATAGTTTCTTTTGCTGCACAGAAACTTTTTTAGCTTAATTAGATCCCATTTATCAAGTTTGGCTTTTGTTGCAATTGCTTTTGGTGTTTGAGTCATGAAGTTTGCCCATGCCTATGTCCTAAATGGTATTGCCTAAGTTTTCTTCTATAGTTTTTATGGTTTTACATTTTATGTATGAATCTCAATCCATTTTGGGTTAATTTTTGTATAAGGTGTAAGGAAGGGGTCCAGTTTCAGTTTTCCGCACATGGCTAGCCAGTTTTCCTAACACCATCTATTAAATAAAGAATCGTTTCTCCATTGCTTGTTTTTTTTTCCAGTTTTGTCAAAGATCAGATGGTTGTAGACGTGTGGCATTATTTCTGAGGCCTCTGTTCTGTTCTATTACTCTATATATCTGTTTTGGTACCAGTACCATTCCCTTTTGGTTAGTGTAGCCTTATAATACAGCTTGAAGTCAGGTAGCCTGATGCCTCCACCTTTGTTCTTTTTGCTTAGGACTGTCTTGGCTATACAGGCTCTTTTCTGGTTCCATATAAAATTTAAAGTAGTTTTTTGTTTTGTTTTTTTTTTTTTTTGTTTTTTTTTTGTTGTTTTGTTTTGTTTTAATTCTGCAAAGAAAGTCAATGGTAGCTTCATGGGGATAGCACTGAATCTATAAATTGCTTTGGGCAGTAGGAACATTTTCACAATATTGATTCTATCTATGAGCAAGGACTG